TGCTTTTGTAATTGTGGAAAAACCCCAAACTGAGAGACCTCCTGACATCTCACATCACTAAAATGGAACCAAATAGCTGTGCTACCTCTGAAAATTACATCTGACAGAATTATTTTCTGTATATGTGTCTACCATAGAAGGGTTTTTACATAATTTTCTTATCTAATGAAGTGCCAAAGTGTAGCAGTTCAAGCCAGTTTGTTGCAAAAAGTTGGAGGTTATGGAGGAGAAGTCTATTACAGCAATAACACTAATAAGGGTCTGCCAAGCTCACATTTGAGCATGTGTAAATACAGGGAATTTGAGACGAACATCTCAGAGGACAGAGGAACAGCACTGGGAGGCAGTGGCAGTCAGGGGCAGCTAAGAGTCAGGGGCAGAGCATGCAGGCCCCCTCTGCAGCTCCCACCCCAGCACCACCTACGTTCCCCCCAGCCTCATCCCACAGCTCCTGCCCCAGCTTCCTGCCTGCCCAAGGGTCAGTGCCGACGGACTACAGCCACGAACACTGTGCTATGTAGAACAAAACGGCTTAATATACCTGGGGCTCAACGTAGACATTTATTTTCCTGCCTTAGCAAGAAAAGTGAGGGGTCCCTGCAGCAGGGAGAGGGCATTTCCTTCATGCTATTGAAAAAAACACAAGAAGGGCCTGAAAAGGTGAGGAGTGCCCTGGGGACGCCCCCCCTGGCAGTAGTGAGCCTCAAGCGAGGCTTTCTACCTGTCCCCTTACTCTGTCCCTCCTGAGGAAGCTGCCAAGGGAGAGGTGTCTGGGGAGAAGGTTAAGCCACCGCCTGTCCCCTCACTCCAATCCTCTCCCAGCAACCACATCTCACTGAAGGTTGGTGGAGGCAATGAAAATCAATATTCACAAAGAGGCAGTGGCAAAGCTTGTATAAAAGGGCAAAAAACCAGACCGCAGTAAGCATTTCTGATTATTTTCTGATAGCCTCCTGTTTCCCACAGCTATGCATTTGCAGAACATTTTGTAAGCAATTTTTTTATGATGTGACAATCTATTTTGTACTTTCAAAGGGAAATATAAATCAAAGCCCAAGAGTGAAAGAACTGGGATCTTGAGCTTTTAAAAGTGACTACTGCATATCAACAACAGCTACTTCTGATAAACATTTTTTGCTATAAATTTTGTGGAATGGCTACAGGGTACTCAAATGAGCATTATAATTACACTCCCATAATGTGCATCACAATGCTCTGGGCTCCGAATGATTTGCTGTGACGTATACTTGGAATAATCGTTAAGATTTCTATCAAAATTGATCACATTCAGCCAGTCTTTTGGTGCACTGATGAATATAGATTCCTAGAGGTATTTATCAACTGCACTTTTTCTCTCCCTGGACTCCATTTATTCTTTTGGTTTTCCTTCTCTTATTCTTTCAATTTTTATGGTCTCGCCACTTTGTGTCAGAAACACGGTATCAGATAGGATCAGACATGACCACCTTCAACTCAACATGAAGAATGCATTTTTACCCAGCCTTTACTAATTAGGAACCTACAGCAAAGCACAAGGAGATACAAACCTGTTAAATTAAAAGAGGAAAATCTGTTTTTCCTTGGAGAGAGTAAAAAGGAAGAAGATACTAATTGCATTGTGGAGGTATTTTTTTGGAGCTGGTACAGTTGGTCTTGGCTATAAACAGATTATACATGTTAAATATTTAAACTTACATTTATTTTACCAATTCTGGTTTTACCTATCAGAGCACAATTTAAAAAAGTACTTCATAAAAATTCACGTCCAGCAAATATGTAGAGATCTGACTATAATTAAATCTCAAAAAGTGGCCATCCTCCTGCCTCTGTATAAGAACAAGTGTCCTTTCTGGGTTGCAATCAATAGCAGGTTACATGACTATATACCTTATTATGTCTTGTATAGTAGTGTTAGCCACTGGAGGTTGACATGTGAACAAATACCTATGCTTGATCAGATCTTTTTCAGTTTTACACACCTTTCAAGAGAAAGAACAATTAGTGTGTGTTATAGGTTACCGATTTACAATTTACATCATAAATCTATGTCTGATTATTTTAATGCAAAATGTTTTTAGCTTCATGTTAGTGCACTAATGGTTTCAATAACACTATAATTTGCTCAGATGAAGAGGTGATTGGACAGCTCTTACAGAAATTTTTAATTACTGTCATTAGTAGCTGCAATCTTATGCTTTTCTATGGAGCTAAGATACGTGTTACTGCATTGTGCTACAGGTACTCTGTGGTTGTGAGAATCCAAACTCTCCCTCTCCACTGAAATACTTACCTCTATAAATCCCTGTCACAGGAAAATAGAGCACCAAGTGTGTTGTCCAGAGTTAAGATAGGAAGTGTGTAGGAGAGCCAGGGATAGGACAGCAGGAGTCCTGCCACCAGAAAGAAAATCCGTGTTGCAATGCCAACAGCTGAAATCTGTGGGGGGACATGGAGGACAGCGCTTGTCCTTCATCCTAGCAGACCAAAGGTCACATTTACTGTTTCTGACAATGGAGCTATTGTTGCTGGAGGTCCATGTTGTTGCTCCTGCTTCAAGCTCCTAATATGTAAACAACTTTGATTTCCCCAGATGGATGCAGAAAGCATTGCATGCTCAATCTACTGCACATCCCTCTGTAATTTCAGCTGATTCCCTTAGCAGGTCTTCTAAGGACCACTACTGTGTACTGACAACTCATTTCAAGGACAGATGAGAATTTAAGAGACTATTTTATTAGAAACTGATAAAATTATCCAGATAATCTTTGCCAACATGTGAGCCCTGGGTGGTGAGCTCACCCCACAGCTGGGCAGAAGGGGAGAGGAAGAATCTGGTAGCACCAGACAGGCCATGCAGGACTCAGACTGGGGGACTGAACAGGCAGGAATGTCTTCTTCCACTCACATTAGTCTAATTTGAGTTAAACACGGCTGAAGATGCAATGCTGACCCAAGTTCAGCTTTGCATGTCCTCAGGTGTTGTAAATAGCTGGATGTAGGACAGTGGTGCTGCCTATGTCTCGTCAAACATTAAGAAACTTCTTCCGTCACAGTAAATCCAGTTGGTAAGTTTGTTCTGCCCATCCACCAAGGGCATATGGGCCCTGCAGGGTAGAACAGGGACAGGAAGGGCATGAAGATGAAAACAGGGGAAATGACAGCAGCACAGGTCACAACAGCCATCTCCTGAGTTACAGACCTTCATTTGCTGGTACCCTGCACTGTACCGTAGGAAGGGAAGCCCCTGCCCTTGATGTATTTCCCATTTATCTTCTCCTTTTCCTGCTCCCTTCTCCCCAATCCTCTATAAAATATGTGAGCAGGTATAAACAATTTTCAATAAATTAATTCTTTTCCACATATTAAAAAAAGGAGCTGAAAATACAGTTCACAAAATGTCCTATCAAATTTCCCCACAAAGTCCCTGCTCTGGCCTATTAATTTTAAAGCCATTTGACTACATGTGTTGTTTGAAGAATGCTGCTTCCATTAAGCATTAAATGGAAAATTAACTGCAGTCTGAAGTATGGGTTCAGCTAGCCCCATCAGTACACCATAACATTTCATATGATGCTCTTAAAAGCTGTGAAGGTTGGCTACTTTTCTAGTAAAATCCTGATAATCATGATTCAAGATGTTAAGGGTTGCTGCTGTTGCGAAACAGGATCTCTTTTTCCATGTAAGTAAACTAGTATTTGTAGATTTATTTTTTTTTCCTCAAAGAAGTAAAACTACATCAAAATTCAAGGAACATCCCCACTTTCCAACTGAGCTGTCTTGGTTGGAAACCATCTGGGTGGCAATCCTCCACTAATGTGGATTTAGAGGAATTGAGTGTGGTCTGGTCTCTGGAGAACTGGGTTTAGTTCATCTGCTTTTGTGCCTGCGCTGAGAAGCCAGCAGTGCAGGTAAGTATGTAATTACAGGCTTAGTTCAAATGGAGATTCTTTTACACAACAGATTGCAGCACGCACAGGAAAAATAATGCCCGCGGGAAACAGAAAACCTCCACGAGGGCTCTTGCACTCTGTTGTGCTGTAGCCTATTTACAGGCTTTGGCTTAGAGATGATTCCTGGTTTGCTTTACAGCGGCGCGGGTTTGTGTGCAGCTGCACGCGCACGGGGCCTCCTTCCTGGCGCCGACTGTAACGGGGACCTGCCCGCTCTCGGGAGGGCACCTGCAAAACCTGAGCAGATACAGTTGCACCGCTATTGAGCCCAGCTCAAACCGCTGGATAAACAGAGGATTACAGCAAACGCTGGGGCCACATGCCATACGGCTTCTCCAGGGTTTCTCCCGTTACTATTGCTGCCAAAATACTGGTCGTGCAGCAGTTATCTTGCTGTTTTTAACAGCTGTATTTGATTTAATGCAATATTACGAACGTTCCACAACATGGTGTACAGCGACCGATGATCTGTTTCCTTCAGGCTTGCTTTCAAGTGGCATTTTGTTTGCACAATGCAACTCGGCCAACTTCTTTGTAAAATCCTGTTGCAACGCGCTCCCCGGGGAGCAGAGGCCGCGGCTCCCACCCAGGGTCTCCCTCACCCCGCGCTGCCGGGTGGGCTGTTGGTCACCGGGGCGCTCTGCCTGTCCCGCGGGG